GGCGCACGGCGGGGAAGGCGGGGACTTTGGCCTCCGTAGCGGCGGCGGCGGCGGTGTAGGAGGAGAACGGTGGCAGCCGGAGACGGAGGTTCGGCCATGAACTTGCCCGGGACGGCAGCGGCGGCGGACTTGGCAGCGCTCTCCTCCTGGCGTCCCCCGTGTTAACGGAACAGGTAAAGATGGCGGCGAGAGGTGGGGAGTGGCTCCGTCCCAGACGGCGGGGTTGGGCCCCGGCGGCGCCGGAGCTGGAGGCGACGCGGGGCCATTGGCTGCGGTTGTGCCTGGGGCGGCCGGGGGAGACCTGGAGGTAGACACCTTGGATACCAACCCCTCCAAAGCCCCTGGTTACATTTATTGTTGGGGAAACTGAGGCTAAGAGTAAGGATTTCTACATGCCCGATTTCCCGAGCGACGCGTTTTTCACCCACTTTGGTTCTCCCACAACTTCATGTTTGTATTGAATATTCGCTAACGGCATCTTGTCCACATCGTCCAAGTGTGATGGTGTGACGTAAAAATCTGAGGTTTAATCATTGCAGGGGATAACACGGAAAAGAAAAACTAGGCTTGTGGAATGGAGAGGGAGGGAAGTTACGTTTTTAAAAACGGAATTGGCTCTGGAGGATACGTCCCAGTGGTTCAGTCCGGGTGTGAACTGCCTGGTACAGGGCCCTCCTATGGTTTGCTGTTTACGGACTGTCAAAGCGAAACAGCCAGCAGCAGTTATGCAGGTGTTTGGAAAACCATTTTTACCTACAGACTGAACTGATGAATTCATTGGTAATTTTTGTGAACGCTTGTAATCTATATAGCAGGCAGACTTGTTTTAATTTTCTGAAGAGCGGGTTTGGGCTTTTTTCTTGCTCGATGAGAATTAGGACAAGTGAAGAAAATTGAGTCAGGTGACGTGAGGACTGTGTACTTCCTAATCTGTATATAGTTGGCTCAGATAATTATCTGCCTGGGCCAAAGTCTAGCTTCTCACTGCAGTTAGACACACAACCAGTTCTTGATCACTTAGAAACAGAATACCAGTTTGTGGTATACTGCTGCCTGCATTTCATTACAAGGGAGAATTAAGAGATAGTGAGACGGATAAAGTTGAGTCTTCAAATATTATTTAGCAATATATCATGGACAGAGGTTGATATAAATATCTAAAATGGCTTTTGGGCATTGCTCGGTGACTTTCAGCTGTGCTAAGCCAGTTTGAGGTTCTAAGAACAGAATTTGAGGTAGAAAAATTTTAACAGGTGGCATAACTGAAACACTATAGCCATGTTTAAATTGCTGTATATTAAGTGGTTAACTTTTTAAAGTCATGGACTCCTTTTGAGAATACGAAAATAGTAAATATTTTCCCTAGAGAAATATACATATGTATAAAACGTGCCTACGAATCACAGAATTCACAGATATTCCCTAGATTGAAGACATGGGATAGAAAAATCTTGGTTAAATAAGTGGAAATAAAACTATTACTGATTTTAAGTAAAGGTGAGATATTCTGTAAGCTTTTTTTTTTTTAAAAAAAAAACCATATCTTTATTGATTTCAGAGAGAGGAAAGGAGAGGGAGAGAGAGAAACATCAATGATGAGAGAGTCATTGATCGGCTGCAGCCGACAACCCGGGCCTGTGCCCTGACCCGGAATCAAGCCCCGATCGCCTGGATCCTAGGTTGACGCTCAACGGTTGAGCCACGGCCAGCTGGGCTCTTGAAGCTTTTTAAAAAAATTTTTTAAAAATGTCTTTATTGATTTTAGGGAGAGAGAGAGAAACATCAATGATGAGAGAGTCGTTGATGTGCTGCCTCCTGCAGGCCCCCCACAGGGGATCCAGCTCACAACCCATGGGTGTGCCGGACTGGGAATGGAACAGTGATCTCTTGGATCATAGGTTGATGCTCAACTGCTGAGCCACGCCTGCCGGTCTCTTTCAGTTTTGAGAATTAAATAAAAATAAAATGCCTTAATTTATTGTGGTATTAAAACAAGTTTATTGTGTTAGAATTCCTTGAAAGTATTGTTCATGCCTTAAAAATTGCCTTTGAAATGTAAACTGTGGGGCTGTCAAGTTAGGAGTCCCAGTTCATGGTAGGTAATAAAGTAGCACCTGGAGGAACAGGTGAAGTAATCTACTTAATATATAGCTATTAGTTACCTGTGTTACCTGAATGGAAACCCTTGAGTTTTTTTAAAGCATTATGTTGCCATAGAACAGGGTCAGAAACTGGTTTTCAAGGATTGGGTTCAATTATATGAAATTGTTCCAAATTTCTTATAAGTATGTGCCTACATAGAAAGCATAATCTATTGTCATCCAGACTCCACAGACTTTCAGAGTTTGTCTTTTCTGATTTCTTTTTTCTCTTTTTCACTTGGTACTTGTTCATAATATTCACAAGTCCTTTTGAGACATCATTTTACCTTGGCTTTTATGATACATGGTTTCCTCCTCCTCTGAACATTCCTTTTCCATTTTCCTTGCATGCTGATTATCCTTCACCAGGGTACTAAATGCTCAGTTCTTCAAGCTAAAACTGGGAACGTGGAATTAGCCTGTTCTCATATTGTTCACTTTTAATGAGAATAAATCAGCTTGTTGAAGGTGAGTTGAGAGTGAGTATGCAATAAAACAAAAAGTATTAATGGATACATGTTTTTAATTTAGGTCAGCTCTCAGTCAGTTTTATAATGTCTTTTCTGAAGTAGAAATGCATATAGTGACCTAAAATCTGTTCACAGTGTTTATGGACTGTAAATTGAGTTTGAGGAGGACTTGATAAGTTAAAGTTTGGTGAAAAGCTTCCAGAGAAGAAAAATCCCAGGTCAAGAGCAAAATCATAACCTATATAAAAATCACTTACTGTAGTACATATAAATAATAGTGTCAACACGATCCAAAGAGGTAGGTAGGTAGTACAAAAGATATTTCAACCCCACATACACTTAAAATGCAGAACAAGCGAAAAGTTTTGGGTTTATAAAAGTATTTGTGTGTACCTATAAAACATTGATTCCATCAGAACTATAAATTGTGTATATATAATCTCACACATTTTAAAGATAATATAAAATTATTTCTTTCATTTTATTCTCATACTCAAAATAAGGGAAGCTTAATTTTTTGACCTACAAAAAGATTGTAGCAATCTGTCCTTGTTAAAATGTAATCACCCTTACATGTTTTGTGATTTATCGTCTATAAGAATGGATTACCTCTTCGTCCCATTCCCTTGTCTCCACTGCCAGATATTTTCATTGTACTTTGACAGCTATAAAACTTGAACCTAAATTTCTAAATAACTAAAACCATTCTTAAAAAAAAAAAAAAAAAGACAAAGTGTCCTGAATTACGGTTCATGTAAAATCAGTCCAGTGGATCGGCTGCATTTCAAAGTTTTCTTTGCCTTCTCCCCCCCGCCCAGGTTTTGACATTATGGCAGGAAGGCATCAGAATCGTAGTTTTCCTCTTCCAGGAGTTCATTCAAGTGGTCAAGTACATGCATTTGGAAATTGTACAGAGACTGATGTGTTGGAGGAGGATGCGGAAGTGTATGAGCTTCGGTCCAGAGGAAAAGAGAAGGTCCGAAGAAGTACATCAAGAGATAGACTTGATGACATCATAGTATTAACAAAAGATATACAGGAAGGAGATACTTTAAATGCAATAGCCCTTCAATACTGTTGTACGGTAAGTTTTAATTTCATTTTGCATAATACAGTCCAAAACAAATTATTTGTTCATAGAACAAATTGAAATAAATTCTGTGCCTTTTTATCTTGCTTCCCTCCCCTCCTCTTTTCTTCTTTCCATAGAAATCTGTATCATGTTGGTGGATGTTAACTTTTTAAATTTTAAAGTGAATACTTGAATTTCTTATTTCTAAATCCTTGCTTCTGTTTTCAATACTGAATAACACCCAAATATGTTATCTTTTCTTCCTTATCCAAGTTGTAAGAGAATGTAGAAATATATAGGAAGTTTTTCCCTGACCCAATTTCCTGCGATAACACACTTGCATTTCTTTTCATACTTTTTTTGTGCTTTTAAGAATATACATACATATGTATGTATATGTATATATAAAAATAAAATTCTTGGGAGATTGGTGATTTTTGTGTTTTTAAAATTGGTTTATACCATCTCTATTACTCTGCAAGTTGCCTTTATCTTTTTCATTTCTTAATTTATCATGGATATTCCTTCATAGTCTTATAGATCTAACTCATTATTTTATATAGCTATGTAATTTTCCATAGTATAGTTGTACCATAATTATTAAGCCATCTCATACTCATGGATAGTCAGGATTTTTCCCATGTTTGCATTGTGCTGTATCATCACAATTATATCTTTAAATGGAGGTACTTTTATTTCTGTAGAATAGATTCCAAAAGTGGGATTGATAGCTAAAAGGAAAGGTATATTTCTCATTTTAGTAGATATTAAACTGTTTAAACCCATTTTATATCTGTCATTTCTATTTTGCATCCTTAGCATGGACTCTGTTTTCATGTAAACACATTGATATGGAGACTGTTTAGAACATTGGTTTTCAAACTTTTTATTCTCATACTGCCAATAGAATTTTGAAATGTATGTGTCATGTACCTCTTTGCACATTTTAAAGCGAACTTCTTAAATACTTCCTAATGACTTAAAATAGTTACAAAGATATAATTTTTATAACATCAATATTGATATTTTAAAATAAGACTTTAGAATAGTCTTTAATGTAGGCATGGAATTCTAAATACTAATTTAGGATTTGCTACCTGAACTAATTCATGTAAACATATAGATATAATATATATGCTCTTTTTTTATAAGCATGAAATTTTATATCATTTTCTCCTTGGTTAATATTTTCATTCTCACCCCCAAAATCTTTCATAATGTAAATTATTTTTATACTTGAAAACTTTTTATGATTACCTGTCATAGTTATCTGAAATAGAAACACCCACATACAGGTTGTCCCAAAAAAAAGGTATATACACTTTAACAGCTGATAGCTCAATTTTGAAAATTAAATGTATTTTAATAAACACTGCCTTTATAATTATTAAAAGTGTGTATACATTTTTGGGACCCCCTATATGTTTGTAAACATATATATACACCAACACACACATATATATATTTAAATTGAATTTTTAAAATCTATTATAACCATGACATTCTATGTATTGTTTTTTTTCTGGATAATAATTATTGCAATTATTCAAAATTGATCAAAACATATTATAAGTTTTTATTTAAAAGTTTAACAAAGCCCGGCCAGTGTGGCTCAGTGGATCGTCCTGTGCACCAAGAGGTCACTGTCTCAATACCCAGTCAGGGCACAAGCCCAGGTTGTGGGCTTGATCCCCAGTAGGGGGTATGCAGGAGGCAGCCAATCAATGTTTCTCTGTCATCTATGTTTCTGTCTCTCCCTCTAAAATTAATAAAAATATTTTTTAAAAAGTAATAATATATGTCTTTGAAATGCATTTCTTGATGAGGTAGAAGAGCTGGGGTTTGTTTTTTGGGGGGCAATTCATGTATGGCAATACCATTTAATCAGAAAATGTGATTTAGTTTTTAATGCAAATAAACATGAGAATATGTGATTTGTAGTGACAAGTGTGGTCCAGCTTCATTAGTTTTTCATGAACCTGGAAAGTTTCCTTAGAAGAGAAATTTGAAATCCCATCTGAATGATTAAAAATAGGTCATATTTTCAGTGAGGTAGGTGAAAAGGAGAAAGTATTTCTGGCATATGACAGCGATGTAGAGAAGATTTCAAGGAGGAAATAAGGTGAACAACTGGAAATTTAATAGGTATTTCAGAAATGAGTGTCATAGACTGATTGGGGTGAAACACTTTCAGAAAACTAATGAAAATTTTACCCCAATAGTAAGAAAGAGAACACTGTATGGTTTTAACAAGAGTGCTGCAAAGTGATAGGGGAGCCTCCTGGTGAAATGGACGGGATCCAGGAGAGAGGGTATTGGAATAATCCAAATGAAGATGATCAGGGCTTAGACTAAAGTATTTGTTAGTAAGAATAGAGAAGCTGATAGAAAATGTATTTGGGGGTAATCACATGATATGTCAGCTGATTCCTCATTTAGAATGAAGACTCATGAAAAGTAATTAGCTTAACAGGAAAGATGGCATTGGGGCCATAGTAGTGGGAAAATTGATACAGAATTAGGGAGTTAAGATTAGCAATGCTCAAGTAGCAAAAAAAAAGATTAACCTTACCAAAGGATTTATCATTTAAAAAATACAGTACTTAGTGCTGTATCCCACTTATATTCAGTAATAGGAATTATTTAAAAATTGCCAGTTATAAAAGAGTAATAAACCAAAAAGTCCAAGGTTGGAATCCTGAATACTTCCAAGCAGATTAGTATAACAGAAAATATAGGTCTATTCAGAGAGAGAACCTAGGTAGATACTAAACCTCAGAAGCCTAGTTCAGAGAGAGTATTAAGCAATTATTAGAGTATAATCAAGCAAGGGAACATTTAAAGAAAATAGGGTCAGGCTTTGGGGTTTGTAAATGAATCTTTTTTTGTTTGTTTAAATTTATTGGGGTGATACTGGTTAATAAAATTATATAGGTTTCAAGTGTACAGTTCTGATACATCTGTGTATTGCGTTGTGTGCCCACCACCCAAAGTCAAATCTTCCATCGCCATGTATTTGACCCCCTTTACCCTTTACTATTTCCTACCCCCCTTTCCTCCAGTAACCACCGTACTGTTGTCTGTGCCTATGAGTTTTTGTTTTTCTTGTTTGTTCATTTGTTACTTTCAGTTTTATATCCCACATACGAGTGAAATACAGTTCTTGACTTTTTCTGTCTGACTTATTTCACTTAGCATGGTATTCTCAAGACCCATCCATGTTGTCCCAAATGGCAGTATTTCATCTTTTCTTATGGTTGGGTAGTATTGCACTGTATATATGTACCACATCTCATTTATTCAGTCAGCCATTGAAGGACACGTAGGTTGTTTCCATGTTTTGGCTACTGTGCATAATGCTGCAATGAACATAGGGGTTCATAAATCTTTGCGAATAAATGTTTCCTAATTTTTTGTGAAAATAACCCAGAAGAGGGTTTGCTGGGTCATATGGTAACTCTATTCTTAATTTTTTGAAGTGCCTCCATACTGTTTTCCATAGTGGCTGTACCAGTTTACACTCTGACCAGCAGTGAATGAGGGTTCATTTTCCCCCACAACCTCTCCAACACATACTACTTTTCTGTTGATAATAACCATTCTACCAGATATGAGGTGGTGTGTCATTGTAGTTTTTTGTTTTTGTTTATTGATTTTTAGAGAGGAAGAGAGAGGGAGTTAGAGAAACATCGTGTGAAAGTGAAACATAGATTGGCTGCCTCCTGCATGGCCCCTACTGGAATGGAGCCCCAACCCCTACTGTCCCTACTAGGAATCAAACTGGCAACCTTTTGGTGCATGGAACAATGCCCAACTAACTGAACCACAATGACCAGGGCTATCATTGTGGTTTTGATTTGCATTTCCCTAATAGCCAGCGAAATTGAGAATCTTTTCATAGATATTGTTAGCCATTTATATGTCTTAGGAAAAGTGTCTTCTCAGGTCCCTGCCTATTTTTAATTGGATTGTTTGTTTGGTGTTGAGTTGTATGAATTCTTTATATATTTTGGATATTAACCCCTTGTCAGAGCTGTTGTTTGCAAATAACATCTCCCATTTGGTTGGTTTTCTTTTTGTTTTGTTGGTTGTCAAGGTATCTTCTTTTGCCTTAAGATAAAACAATATTGAGGTAGTAATATGACAAAGGACCCTTATCTCTACTGTCTTATCTCCTACTTACTCTTCAGTCCTCTCTCCCTCCTCCCCCACGTGCACTTCATGGGAGATGATTTTTCCAACTAGAACTCTCTCAGTATTCAATGGACTTGACCAGTAATCTACCATTGATTCAGTTCACTCCCTCCTAAAAACCCTTTGTTTGACCTTGATACTGCAGGTTTCTGATTTTCCTGTTACTAATATTTAAGAACAGCTAATGTTTGCATAACATTCTATACTGTATATCCCTTTTCTAAATGTCCTTCATACATTTTAATTTATTAATCTTAACAACAACCATATGTCATTTTACATATGTGGAAACCGAATTTCAGAGAGGTTAAAGAACTTGCCCCAAATCAGACAGCTAGAAAGTGTCAGCCATGCTTCAAACCCAGATAGTCCATGCTTATAACCACTGTCATCTATTGCTTTCCTGGTCACTCTTAATCTCCTTTGTGGATTTCTCTTACTCAGCATACCCTTCAAACGTTGGTATTCCTCAGGGGTCTTTCCTATGTCACCTTTTACTCCTGTCTTTCTAGTGAATCCATCTACTCTTGTAACTCCAGTTACCATTTTTGCTGGTAACCCACAAATATATATCTCTAGTTAAGATCATTCATCTGCATTTTAGACATACATCCTAGAATCTACTTAAATAGCTGGCATTAGGGCCATTAAACGTGGGAGATGGTAAAAGGTTCATTGGTGATTTCCTAAGACTGGTAAATCCAAAGGGGTGTAGAACTGTTATCCACAAATAAAATACAATTTCTCTGGGTGTGATAATACTACTAATAGTTAAGTTTAACTTTTTTCCCCCTCCCAAAATAAGTGGGATGAATGAATATTGCTACCTCTATTTTGATTGAGAATTCAGTTGAATGTTTTTTTTTAAATTTTCTTTTACAGGTAGCAGATATCAAGAGGGTTAACAATCTCATCAGCGATCAAGACTTTTTTGCCCTTAGGTCTGTCAAAATTCCAGTAAAAAAGTTTAGTTCGTTGACTGAAACACTATATCCTCCAAAAGGAAGACAGGCTTCACGTCCTTCGTCTGTTCAGTACGTTCCAGAGCAACAGGAAATTCTGTCACTTAATGATTCTCTTTCTTCCAGTGATTCAGCTGGTAGCTTTTTAAAAGAAGTAGACCGAGACATAGAACAATTAGTAAAATGTACAGACACCAAAAGAGAGAACCTTAATGAGGTGGTGTCTGCCTTAACAGCACAACAAATACGTTTTGAACCTGATAACAGAAACATTCAACGTAAGGATCCTTATTATGGAGCAGACTGGGGAATAGGGTGGTGGACAGCTGTAGTGATAATGCTAATAGTGGGCATAATAACGCCAGTATTTTATTTGCTGTATTACGAAATTTTAGCTAAAGTGGATGTTAGCCACCATTCAACAGTGGATTCTTCACATTTGCATTCAGGAGTCACACCCCCGTCACAGCAGAGAGAAATGGAAAATGGAATTGCTCCAACTAAAGGAATACCGTTTGGCCAACAAGATGATCATAAACTATATAGTCAAAATTCTTAGTCTCCTGCTACTCAACACAAAGCATAGCAATTAGCTCATAATTACAGTGTTTGTGATCACATGTTCATCTGGAAAGTAGTGAATCAGTTATATTCAATAACCACTTCAAAAGCAGAATTTAGGGACATTGAAGATGCTTTTGTTTTTCACCTTTTTTTTTGAGCCATTTACAAATGGATTGAGTATAAAATTCCCGCAGTTAGTTGTCAATATTGAAAACAGTAAATCTATATATCTGTTATATCAATGCTTAAAGCAAAAAGAATTTAAATATGTGTCTAGGAAGTTCTTGGAAAACAACATTTTTCTTATGCAAGACCAGTTATGTTTAAACTTTAATTATTTTTTGGTTTAAGCTTATTAATGTTTATTAAGCAGAATAATGGTAGCACCAGATATCTGCAACAGAAGAAAATTTACTACTATGAACCATCACAATATTTAGTTGCAAAAAAGTTTGATTCTAAAATTATTTATGATACCACATACTTATTAATACTCCATTTTAAAACTTTTGAAAAGTTTAGCACATACACTATGAAGACATAAGTAGACACAGAGGTAGGAAAGCAGTGTATGATGTCTGTAATAGAGGCTGACATAGAAATTAAATATTTTTAAGCCCTAAAGTAATGTGTTGTGGTTGGGAAGTTGCCAGTCGGTCACTAGAACACTGGATTAGGTCAGGAACCTAAAGTAATCTTTGTCTCTCAAAGAATGCTGCCTCTGCTTCTTATTTTTAAGTCATTATATTTGCCTCTGATATTTGAAAGCACTTTTGTAATTCTTTGATTAAAAGTGTTACACATGTACTGGTCAGCATTATTTAAAGAATGATTTCCTACATACTGTGATAAGATGTTGCTATGTTACATGTGGTAACATGCCTTAATTACATTTAATGCCTTATAAAATATGTAAGCTAATACAAGTTTTAGAATTAAAAGTAGGCATTATTTCAGATAGTCCAATGGGATTCATACCACAGGCTGTATAAATTTGTCTCCACTTTCACTATCAAGCACAAATTAATGGGGTCAAAACAAGTTTTCATTGTCTGCCTCTGAGGTCTGTTGCAGAAATGGTTCATTAAGCAGAAGCATGAGTAAAGATGCCTTTGGCATTAGCAATAACCGACACATTGCTTTATTTATTGATCCCTTAAACTGTTTTTCAAAGAGAAAAATGTCCAACTTAAACCTTTTTTCCCTTGAACTATAGCATAAAATTGGGGAACAGAGGCCAAAAGTGTATGATCAAAAGGGCTTGATAATGCCACTTTTAAGATCTGTGGGTCTGCTAGATAAGAAGCATTTGCATACTGATTCCATCATTTAATTTTTAAAAGTATGTGTTTTTAAAAATGTAACCAAAATGATTCATTAGGAGCAAGATTCGGTGGAGTCTGGATTGCCTGTTTTTTATATAATAAAGTATGTACCTTAAGATCTATAATACCACCTCATTTTCTGGGCATTATTTCCTAATTTTAATATTCAGCTTTTTGACCACTTTGTATTTCAAACTCCAATCTTGATACAAAGTGGTGGGAATAAATATATGTGGTAAATGGGGTTTTATGTACCTTTAGTAGCAAAGTATAAAAAAACAGGACAGAGATGTCAAATATGTATTTGAGGACCTTAGATAATTACCAAAAAGTGTTAATATGGAAATTGTAGCAAATTGATTCTTTGAGTAACTCTTAGTTTAAAATTTAAAACACTGTTTTAATGTGCCTTGGGCATCTTGAAAAGAGGAGTGTGAACTTTCTAATTTATGCTCAATGTTAACATGGTCAGTTTACATTGTATTTATTAAGCCTGCTGAAAATCAAGTTTTAGGGAAGAAAATACAGATTATTTTAAGGTAGAACGGGCTAGATGTCCTTTGAAGAACTGTGTTTACATCAAAGTGGTGAAATTACGGAAAGTCAGTGATTCCTTTTTGCTAGTGGTACTTTGAAATTGTGATAGAGAGGTCTGATTCCCAGAGAAGTTATTTTTAAAGTAGTGAGGTATACTGTATATTTGTTAGTGTCCTATTCCTTGAAGGAAATACAGCATCCTATGACACAGGCAGTTTACTTTTTCTGTATATCTGAATTACATATTTTTAATTGAATATAATTTGAATTATAATTCTGTGTTATATATGGAATTATAGATTCTAATCGTTGTGTCATTTTTAAAAGAAAAAAATTCCTAAGCATTTAATAAATAATTTTAGCTTTTAAAAAGTACTAATATACCTCAAAATTTGTAGCAAATGCAGGTTACTTTGTAAAACTTAATAAAATAAGAAAAATTGTGAATTTTAATTGTGTTGAAACCCTTATTTGAATTTACTTTGAGGCTTCACATTAGAAGAGAGATATATATGTGCAACTATAAAAGTAACAACTGTGTGTGAATCATTGCATTTGGTTCACTTAAAAAACTGGAGTTAAGTGAAGAAAAATCTATTTTTAGGGGAGATTTTCTTTTTAAGTCTGGGTACCAGTGGTTAAGGTTGTTTTGAACTAATGAATGCTGTTTAAGAAAAACTAACTACAGAGTCTGCTGGCCACATTAAGAATTAGAAGACCACATGTTAAATTAACTTACGCAGAGGGCTTTTTGTTTTCTAAAGCTTTTCTTTTTCTGGACTCCACTTGCTGTTCAGTGGCCTGAAGAGTTCTTTCAATGAACCATAATGGTTCATTACTTAATAATTAGTTCTTTTTAAAGGTATCTACTTCTAAAATTACCTACTTGGGAATATGAAGGATACAGTTAAGAGTTTTAGAAATATGACGCAAGGATCCAAAGTGCTATAGGGTAAAAGTGGAGTTTTTAAAAGTATTTTAAATGGCACTTTGGAATGGGAATCATCATTATTTGGAATTACAACAATGTTTCTCAGGAAGTATTTTTCTTCTAAGTATGTGCATATTGCACTTTTAGATCATAGAAATATCTGAATGCAATATTTAATTTTTATATATGCAAATACTATAAATCTTTTGTATAATGTATTTTATACAAATACAAAATGGAATTGTAGAACATTGTTAGCATGTACATTTGTAAAACTGTTTTTTAAAACTTTTTACCCCTTATTTTTCATATTTTAAAAAGATCTCCAAAATAAAGTTTCTATTTTTTATTCAATCTAAAATGGAAGCTGGTGAGTTTAATTTAATAAAGCATACCTTTTCTCCTCTTTGAACTATCTGATATGAAGACACTGTGTAAGATAGACCGAATTGCCAAAGATTTACCAATTCAAATTTCCCCCTTGTTATACTGAAACAAAATCCACTGGATTACTTACAGAACATAAATGAAATAAAATGAAAACAAATTTCAGATGAATGTTCTTGGAAGGATCTTGGATCTTGGGGAAGAAGACAGACCTCATAAGGCAGGGTGGACTTCTTAGCAAGTTGTGGACATCAGTCATATAATAATGTGCTCTATTTATATGTAAATTTTACACAACAAAAAACCTTTCCCCTTAATTTTTTAAAATCACCTACAGTAGCAAAAAGAATTGAGATCTTTGGAGCTTTTATTTAACGGAGGAATTTATGGTGTAATCCTTTTCCAATTTTACAATCATCTTGATCTTAAAATTGTATTTAATTGCATCTCTTTTTATTAAAAAAGTTTTTTTTACTAACTCCAGAGCTTTTAACCATATTAAGGCCAAGCCACTGACACTATACATTTGAGGTAGTGGGAAAGGAAGGTTAATATCCTCTGAATTTGTTAGCATTCTCTCCTATCCAGTGTAAGTCAGTCCATGATGCCAATGATCACACTAACATTACCCTGGCTGCCAAATCTCTTAGTTTGTTATGACTTTAATCATCTTGAGTTTTCTTATGTTGGTGGTTTATTCCAGAATATTTGATACTGTCATCCCTGCTTAATATAGTTATTTTTCCAGATAAAATCTGTATTAACAAATTAGTTAATAAAAAATAAAAATAATTAATACACTAAATATATTTAAGTAGTTTCAAAGCAAAACATCTTAATATAAAACAGGACACAATTCTGTTTTGAAAGAATTTAATATGTAAACAAATACAGAAAGACAGTATAGCAACAAAACAGTATTGCTTGATAACAATTTTGACACTTCAACAAGTACTTTTTTATATATATAAGAGGCTATCTCTGCATTAAAGTTGACCTTCCTATGGAATAACTTCACAGTCTCTTGAGATTTTAAGCCACAAAACCAAGACTCATGCTGGCAAAGCAACCTGCAAACACTTCCTGCCTGTTCTCACAATTAGTCTACTTTAAACTTGTAAAGAGATTTTTCCAAAAGAGAAAGAATGCACTTAGTGGAGAGATGACTGGGGTCTCCCAAAGCAAACCCCTCCCCAAAAGGCTGTCTTACCATCTGCAGGACTGAAATGTTGGAGACAGATTGAAAGCTAGGGAACAAAATACCTGTATCTTTGGTTTATTTGCCCTATTCAGGCAGTTATCTGCAGATTTACAATAAAGCAAGTAAACAGAACCACAGAGATAAGACTATAAATTATATTAGGTTAAGGTACTAGGGAGGTGAGAGAATAAAACACCTGTAGCTCGGCAGGGCGTGGCTCAGCGGTTGAGCATTGACCTAGGATCCAGGAGACCATGGTTCGATTCCCAGTCAGGGCACATGCCCCGGTTGCGGGCTCGATCCCCAGTCGGGGGCGTGCAGGAGGCAGCCGATCAATGACTCTCATCATTGATGTTTCCCTCCCTCCCTCTCCCTTCCTCTATCTGAAATCAATAAAGATACATTTTTAAAAAAAAGAACACGTTAATTACCAACCCTAAGTTACTACTTGCCTATTATAATGGAAACTTTGAGGTGTCTACTCTTAAGTACAGTTGACTGCTTTAAAGTAGACTCATTTTATTCATGTTTTCCATTTAGCATCTTTAAACTTTTTTATACGTTCCTTTAAAGGAATAATTCACATATGATCAACATAAGCACTGAACTAATAACGGTCCTCTCACCCATCTTGAATTATCTGAGGAAGATTACAACTGAAAGTGATCTTTTTCCTGAGAGAGCCACTTTACAAAATGGCATCAGATGATACAAATTTTCCCCACCAGAATATAAGATGGGAAAATCAGATTACAATATTTTGTAAGGAAAACATGTTTGTTTCTTAAAACAGTGTTTTCAATAACTTTACAAGCTACAATATTTTAGGGAGCCAGACAAATTTAAATGAAGAAGCAATTATTTCTAGATGCTAAGAGAATGAATACATATGGTAAATTCTGGTTGGTCTTTAAGCAGTTTTTATAGGAAATTATTTACAGAAAACCAAGCTCAAGTTTAAGGTTGAGTTTAATAGTAAAGCTCGAATACAGTATAGGGCTCTGATTCTCAGGTAGAAGGTAATGGGTAATATCCTCCCAAAAGGGAAAAATAAATTTATTAATTTTGGTAGATAATATTAAAAAATCATTTTTGAAATACATAAGAATTCCCTTCAAAATCTTTGGCATTTGTGAGTCTTTAGAGGGTAAAGTTTTTAGGTATTTTCCCCTGCCCCCAATATAAAAAGGTGAGCTAGTTTTTAATTAAAACAAAAAAAAATAATCTTAATTTCAAAATGACCTGAGTTTTATTCTGCACTGTTATATAAACCAATTAGATAGCTATGAGTCCTCTGAGATATAACAGAGGCCATTATACCTCAGATTTCACATATGCACTCTGCAGTGAGATTTATGACTAGAACTTACCCATAGTTTTGTAAAGTATAAATTTAAATGTCTCAGTCTAATTTTTCATAAGCTCAACTATTCAAAATATCAAACTTATTACAGTAAGATGATGAGTAATTCATACACTGTGTGGTATGAAGTTAGCCCCAAATTCAAGTATTTTTAATATTCATCCCAAGTCTTTGTACTGGCTGAGATATAAGCTGTAGCATTTATATCGGTACGACTGGAATTTTTCCCTGTGTATATTTTTTATCACAAACTTCTAATCTCATATGCAATTGTAAGATCTCAGGTAGGTTTATGTAGTCATAATATAGTAGCATAAAACATACCATGTAAAAGTAAAAAGTAAAATTTTCAAGTTTCTTGGATTTTAAAGTGCTCCATGTGCAGTATTAAATCAGCTTTCAGGTTACAGAAATCCATTATGATGACAAGTAATAGTTTTACAAAAGATCAGCAAGCAGTTAACCAAGAATAATTTGTTCAAGTATGAATACATGGATTAAAAGACGCAGACACTCTTTAGGCACATTCCGATCTAAATAACACCAAAAATAAAATTTTCACTTGAATACTTAAGAGGGATAGGGAGGTGCTGAGAAGGAATGTCAGGGTGTCAGAGACTAAGGTGGTAAAGTAACGGGTATGTAAACTCAAAGTGGCTCTGAATATTTTGGTAACAAATATTGTCCAACAAAACAGAAACAAAAATAAAATACTTACTCATTCCTTATCAGAAATTAGGAAACAAGTCTGTCCAAATGTGCAGAAGCTGTATCAGAAAAATATTTTGGGGGAAATTTCATAGCTAATAAGTCGCTTCATCCATGTTGTCATCACTGTCTACGCCGAAATCATCTCCATTGTCAAAGTATGAATTAATGTAGTCATTTTCCTAAGTGAACATTAAAATGAATGAGTAGTAACATTATCATTAAGGAACATATGTAGGCTGCCCCTTTAGGTCTATAAATACCAACCTTAGGTAATAAAATACACCAGGCTTAAAAGAGGTCTCTGCTGTGCATTGCTTAGAAAACACGTGCGCTTCCACTCTCGTCTACCTGCGCCGCTTCCTGGGAGACCTCCACCTGCTGCATCCTCAGCTTCGGGGAGCACGGGGAGCCCCTGCTCTCCAGGGCCGGCGCCTTCGCTCCCCAGCCTCGCAAGGAGCACCCGCGGTTTAGGGGGCTAAGGCGCCGGGCGCTCCAGAAACAGCCAATGCGCACTAACGTTAGACCACCTGGGGCCCCGGCTTTCCACCAGCGCGCAGCTGACCGGCAGCAGCGGGGTTTTCACTACCTAGCAAAAAAAGGCCTAAGAAACCAAATCGAGGCTCGAGGGTGCTGATGGCTGGGTGGAGGCGGCGGTAAACGCGCAGCCCCGCCTCCCCCCACCACGTGCACAGCTCACGCAGCCGCGGTCCTTCGGAACCACCGGTGGGGCAGGGATCCCCTCAGACCTGCACACGACGCCCTTCACTGCCGACTTGAAAGTTTAATCCGATCAATTTCGTTAGCTGGTGGACTTCTGCTTACAGTTGCCTATCCAGTTACAGTGGTCCCTCGGTTTCCCATCGAGTCCATCGGCAAACATTCCGGTTTCCGAACACGTACCCCCGGAAGGAAATGCTTGGGTTTTGAACCCGGAAGGAAATGCTTGGGTTTGGGAACCCCCCCGGAAGTGGAACGTGCCGGCTTCCGCGGAGGGCGGGTCCTGAGGCCCAGCCGGGGCTGCGACCCCCGGTTTCCAAGGTTCAGACCTGACCGGTGTCCCGGAGCGGGTCACATTCGGAAAGCCAGGAAGCACTGCACTCTCCCTCCTAAATTCAACTGGGCTTTATAGCCAGGCGCTATAATAATTCTCTCGATACAAAGGAATTGATGCCGGCGACAACACTATGCCCCTGGTTCCCATCGACCCGGGCTTGCTCAGTTTAACCCAGAGCACGTGTCTGATTTACTGGGTGATTCTTATCCTGAAGACTGTTCCCCCTCCAGACACGCCCTTACCTCTTCCTGCTCTTCCTCGTCGTACTCCTCTTGCTCTGCAGCGTCTTCCTCCTCCTCCTCGTCTTTACTTTTCTCCTTGCTCCCTTCTTTCTCTTCATTTTCCTCATCTGATTTTTCACCATCACCTCTCTTTTCCAATTCCTGTTGTAAATGAAGTTCATTAACTTTTTTGTAAACCGCTAGACTCTGACCTCCCTGCTCGGCCTCAGTCAGCCTTTTCTAATCTCCCC